ATGTTGTTAACATAATGAGCACTGAGAAAGGGAAGAAAAATCTTTCTGAAGCAAGGAGCTTTCAAGGGATCATACTTCATTTGGGTGAGACATGAAGGAATAAACAGTTCAGAGACTATACATATCTTTGTATAAGTGAGATTTTGGAGCTGAATGGGGTTATGGTGTGGGGTAGGTATTGATCTTTCCATGCATGCCAAGGAGGAATAGTTTTGTACCTATACTTCTCAGAGCATGTTGTGTTTTGGGCTCTCTAGCACAAAGAACCTTTATTTGAGTCTGAACGTTATAGAAGTCTATGAATGTTCCTGAAAAAGCTTGTGTGTCTGTATGTTGTTATTGTTATTAAGTGCCATTGACTCAGTTCCGACTCATAGCGACCCTGTATGCAACTGAACAGACTGCTGTGTCATCCTCACAATCATTGTTATCTTGCAGCCCGTTGTTACCTCCACTGTGTCAATCCATCTCCTTGAGGATCTTCCTCTTTTTCTCTGACCCTGTACTTTGCCAAGAATGATATCCTTCTCCAGGGACTGGTTCCTCCTGATAACATGCCCAAATTATGTGAGACAAAGTCTGTCCATCTTTCCTTCTAAGGAGCATTCTGGTTGTACTTATTTCAAGAAGATTTGTTTATTCTTCTGGCAGTGCATTGTGTATTCAGTGTTCTTCACAACCACCATAATGCAAATGAATTAATTCTTCTGGGATGTTCCTTATTGATTGTGCAGCTATCGCATGCATAGCAGGTGATTGAAAATACCATGGTTTAAATCAGGCACACCTTAGTCCCCAAAGTGATACCTTTGCTTTTTAACACTTTAGAGAGGTCTTTTGCAGCAGATTTGCCTGATGCACTGTCATTTGATTTCATGGCTGCTGCTTTTATGGTTTTTGCAGCTCCAAGGAAGATGAAATCCTTGATATATTTTCTCCATTTATCATGATGGTGCTTATTGGTACAGTTGTAGGGATTTTTGTTTTCTTTATGTTAAGGGATAATCCATACTTAAGGCTGTAGTCTTTGAGATCCATCAGTAAGTGCTGCCAAGTCCTTTTCACTTTCAACGAGCAAGGTTGTGTCATCTGCATATCACAGGTTGTTAATGAATCTTCCTCCAATCCTGATGCCATGTTCTTCATATAGTCCATCTGCTAGATTATTTACTCAGCATATAGACTGAGTAAGTATGGTGAAAGGATACAACTCCGACTTAACATCTTTCCTGATTTTAAACCCAAGTGTATATATACTGTCCATGATATCCATGTTGGACTTCTGTCTCACATAACTGTAAGATAATTGTTTCAAGCAACAAATTTGTGCTAATTTATTACACAGTGTTGGTTTTCTCTTGCTACTGTAACAAATTAGCACCAAATTGTGGCTTGTTATTTTACAGTTCTGTATGATAGAAGTCCAACATGAGTATTAC